GTCTTGAATGAAAAGCAACTGCACACGCTAAGGTAAGTGGTTAAAATTTTGGCATATCTTCCATTCAGCACTTCCCATTACACAGTCAACACCTGCGCGGAAGATTATTTACATGATCGCTTTATAAATCTAAGTATAGAGTAGTCCTTAGGAGTGATATCATAGAGCTGGCCAACAAAAGTTCCCTGAGCAAAAGCGCATTCACATTGATGGAATTCAATTAAGAAACCAAAAATTTTGTGTTAATGTAGATACCAATATGTGGGTAGCTCCGCTGGTCATGTGGTTATTTACTCATCTCTGCTTAAGAATGACTATTGCCGCAGTTGTTGAGACAATAAATACAGCAAACGCATCGAGTACATACTTCCTTGCCATTGCCAGAGTTATACTAAGTCGGATGTTTATGCCTGAGTTTTAAGTTCGAAGAAAATCTGCGTTCTTCTACGCCATAACAGCTAATGGCACTTGGGCCCATTTCTAGGTAGTCACAACTCGATCTTTAAGCCTAAGTGCGCATACATATCAGATCTGAATGTGGGCAGCCACTGCAACCTAACCTAACAGAAGTCTTAGAAAGTCTTCTCCATGAGAAATTAATCATTTTTCCTTTCTAGTTAATTAAACGGAGCTCACCGAATAAAGAAGTATACACATAAATTAACTTTGACTAGATGCAGTTTTTCTAGGTCGGGAAAAATCGCAAAAATACTAATTTTAGCTCGATAGATTTTCTTATACCAACCCCACAGACTTCAAATGTTCGAAACTTAGCAACTTTTATTACTGTTATTTTTATTCGATGGTATATGGGGCCTTTTCAGGATTCCATAGGATGAGATTTTTCAGAGAATAGTACATATGTATGCATGTACATAAGAATTGCCTATCAAGATACCGATAGACTAGCCATTAGGTCATAAGAGCTTTGAGAAACACTTCTCCCTTACTTTTGCATATAATTTTTTTGCGAGAATGCTTATTAATATTTCCCTGACACTTGCTTTGATTTTCACAGAACCTGCTATAACGCTAATCCGCGACCTGATGCGCTCATGAAGGAGCAGCTGGTGGAGATGACTGGTCTATCGCCACGTGTCATACGAGTCTGGTTTCAAAACAAACGCTGCAAAGACAAGAAGAAAACCATACAAATGAAGCTGCAAATGCAACAGGAGAAGGTAAGTCCCAATCACGCACAAATCACATTTTTGTTCGCTGAATATCCCAACTGCACGAACATCATTTTGTGCTCAATTGATGAAAGTTTCTCTTTGCTTTGCGCTTATAGGAGGGACGAAAGCTCGGTTACGGCGCCATGCAGGGCATACCGATGATCGCGAGCTCTCCGGTACGCCACGATTCTCCGCTCAATCTGCAGGGCATCGACGTGCAAACATATCAGCCGCCATGGAAAGCCTTATCCGACTTCGCGCTGCATGCGGATTTGGACAGCAATGGTGCGATAAACACGCATACGCCCGCGTTTCAACAACTGGTGAATCAGGTGAGTAGCGCACATTGCTTACGAAGCTTTTAATCGGTGATCAACATTTATTAACCCCTTTTCTTTTGTCGCACAGATGCATGGTTACGAACTCAATGGCATGCCACCGCTGCCGCCACATCATGGAGCACATCCGCCACCACCCGGCCAGGAATTGAATGGACCACCCATAGGCAGCATGGACTCGGGCATTACGTCACATCATCACCCGGACAGCACTGACTCATATGTGACCTATCTGGAGAGCGATGACAGTATGCAAGGCAGTCCGTAGAAAAGCATGTGCAAACGAATCTAATTTGCTCTTCTTCTTCTTCTCGTTCTTGTCGATCAAAAAAAAAAAATGTATCAAACAGAGTCCAAACTAGCTTTGACACCAACATCGTCAATGTCTTTGTCATCGTCGTCACTATCATCCTCATCGGCATCAGCGGCCACATCAGTCGCATCGCCGCCATCAGCCTCGAATACAGCCAACGGAAGTGTGAGTGGAATCGCAGTTGGAATGGGCGCTGCAGCTGTAGCTGGTGGTGTAGCTTGTGCACTCAACACTGGACTCGGTCTGGGAGGAGGTATGGGTATGGGCGGTGGTGGCGTCAGCGGTAGCGGCATTGGGGCCGCCTCAGCAAGCTGTGGCCAAGCACAATCCGCAACGGAACAGCTGATGCAAATGTTGCAAAAGGTGACCGCTTCGCCATCGCACGCAGTGCTGTGAAGGATGTACGAGGAGTTCTGCCGTCAAGCCGGAAATCAGTAAAGCGCAAAGGGCAAATGTGCAATTCGGAAGTGGAGGAAGAAGAGGTGATCATTGGAAGGGGGAGCAGATGAAGGAGAGGATGAAAAGTGGCTTTAGCGAGGCCCACTGTTTGTGGGAAAGGCGCCTCAGTATTAGCTTTACTTGCTGCTCAAGCGTGGAGTGTAAAACGTCGAATGAGAGCCATCGAGTAAGCTGCTGAGTGGGAGTTCTGGTGAAATATTGCGCTAAACATTCTTCACTGGAAATAAATTGCGTACGAGCGCCTGAAAATTAGAAATTGATCAGCATGCAAATATTTGAGCAATTTTGTGCTTGTTACTGCATACTTTTAGGCGCATTCTTTTTTAATTGTATGTTTATTTTTGAGTGTGAATTATTAGCGCAGTGTTTAAGAAATTCCATCGCGGCTTTAGGAAAAAATTAACTGTTGATTTCAATAACCAGTTGTGGTATTTTTTATGAAATATTTCAAAATTCTCTAATGAAAAATGTGAATTGTTTAAAAACTGTCAGGAGAAATTTTGCACTAAGCCATTTCAAAATGGCTGAAAATGCAAACTATAATGCTCACTCACTTGAAAAGTTCATTATTTGTAAAAATTAGTTTAAAAATTAAAAAAAAAAAGTATCTATATATGTATGTGAGAGGTAAAATAAACATTTACTCTCTAAAAAACTGCAACTAAAACCAAAACGAAAACGAAAGTAAAAATAAAAATAGGGAAATGCAAGTTTGTAAAATATCGAAAAAATATATACTAAAAAGTTGTATATAACTATGTACCACATAATTAAATTTAATGCTTGTAATTTTCAAAAAAAAAAAGGACGTAATTTTTAGAAAGGAAAATTTCTAGTTAAACTAAACTATTAAAAACCTAAGAAACTACTAACAGAACGAAAAAAAACGAAATCTGTACCCAAAAAAAAATTACTCAGAAATTTACAAAATATGCAAAAAATGCCAAAAAGCAGCAAATCTTATTCAGCCCAAGAAAGAACCAAAAGAATCACTTTGGGCTCCTATCTGCAAATTATTTGTAAATTTAAGAAATACCAAAATGCTAGTATTATTTAGCACACAGCTCTACGTCTGAAATTTGGCTTTAAGAACAGGATTTACTTTATTCTAAAAAAAAGCAGATACCGCCACGAGTAGCCATTTTTTAATAAGAAGCAAAGAATTTTAGGAACTTTTAACTTGTATTATTTTTAGCAAAAAAAGCCTATTATTTTTTTGGCAAAAATATAAGTAAAACATTTATATGATATTTTCTTGAACTTATGTTTACAAATCAAAGCTAAGATTTTAATATACTTTTGGACCCGAAAAAATATATTTAACGATAGCAAAATTTTGCAAAAATCACGAAGGCTCCTTTAAAATAAAACAGAAAGGATCTCAAAAAGTTCCATCAAATCAAAATCACACAAATATCAAGAATGTCCACAAAAAAAGCCGAAAATCCCGCCGAAAAATATTTCGAAAAGTTTAACATGCAGAATACCGAAAAAGTATCGAAAAGCTCGAGAAATATTTTACAAAATTCCGAAGAATTCAAAACGATGAATCACAAAAAAACTTGAAAACTGAAAAGCCCATGAAGCTCCTGAAAAAGCCTATAAAAAAGTCCTGAAAAATCAAAAAAGGTATTTCGAAAAATCCCTAAAAAATATCACAAAATCCCGCAGAATTAAAACGACGAATCCCAAAAAATCCCTGAAGACTCCGAAAAATTTAAAAACTGCGAAAAATTACAAACGAGGCGTCTCATAAAATTTCAAAAGGCTCCCGACAAATTTCAAAAAGAGTCCCAACCAAAAAATCCTGGATAATTATTAAACCCAAACCAATGCTAAAAAGGTCCCGAAAAGTAATGCAAAAATTCTCTATAAGACTCTAATAATCCCGAAAAAATTCTGAAAAGCCCAGACAAATTCCCGAAAATTAAAAAAAAAAAATAACACATAAAGAATCCCGAATAAAATCTACAAAATTCTGAAGATATCAAGTTTCCGCCTAAAATTTCCAGAAATCCCGTAAAGTCAAGGAAGAACCCGAAAAAAATAAATCCACAAGAACACGTGATTAAAAACGAGTAATTCTGATATGGGGCCTACACCAACACTCCATAAAAACGACCGAATAAATTAATCCCACAACAAAAAAAAGTGCGAAAAAGTGATTCCTAAAAATAAGCTCTTACGTCTTTTCCTTTTCTACTAAATGTATCTTAACATCTGCGAAATTTCTGTTTTAACTTACCGCCCTATTCCCACAACACTGACAAAATTCATCATATGACTATTGTCACAATTACTGCGCCTAAAACCCAATATAAACACTGTTTCGCCGTTGTCACTTACTCAATAGGTCATAACATAGGCATAGTATTAGGTGCAGTAGTAAAGGCAATAGTCAGCCGCTGAGTTTTGTCAGTGGTGTGGGAATAGGGCGGTTAGTCTCGTTTTCACAAGTGGGAACTTGCTGTCTTAACATATCACTTTCAAAATGGCATCAAGCCAATCAGATCGATCTGTAGATGGTGCGGTAAAATGAAAACTCAATTGTCAAACCACGAAATGACAGCTGATGTTAAGACAGCAAAGGTTCGGCAAGACAGATATGGTTTAACAGAGGAAATTTGCGGTCTCCACCTGACATTTCTGTCTTACCACAGCTTTTTTAACAGAATCTGTTAACAGAATCTGTAGAAGGAGATGTGGGGTAAGAATTATTAAAAATTACCGAAAATATACTTCAAAAGGCGTAATTTTTTGCTATACAAGTTACAAAAGAACACTCTTTTAAATGTTTATTACACGTAAAGCAACAACACAACTCGTATATATTATCCAAGTTGATTCCAACTGGTATAACGATATACGACTTGGTGTGAGGTGCTGCCAAGTTCAGTTATGGCACTATTGTGATTGATTATGGAACGAACTTGGAAACTTTCCTTTTAAAAGTCAAAATATATTTTTTTTGAAAAGTAAAATAAACAACGAGGCAAATATTTTTTCATTCATGGGAAATATCTTTTTAAAGCAAAATAAACCAAAAGGCAAATGGAGCAAGAGTAAGTAAAAATAAATTTTATTTTAAAACTTATCAAATAAAAACTAATTTTTTTCAGAATTGAAAGGATTAAGAGGAGAAGGTGGACGCGGGAGGAGACGGAAAGTTTTCTGGGGTGCTACTTAGCTCGCAAAGCCGAGTTTGAGCACCCGAAAAAGAAGCGACTGGCGTATGCAAATGTGTTGGAGGACATGTTGTCCTTGGGAGTTACGGTGCGTAAACAATTTAATTTTAATTGAACCAAAAATAAAAGAAAATAACCAAATTTTCAGGATTCAGAAAAAACACCGCTGTGTTTGGAGGGGAGGATGCGCACCTTGCTGCAGGCATACAAGTCAGCAAAGGACAACAACAGTCGCACAGGTTCTTCCCCATGTTTCGCTCCATACATGGAGCTAATGGAAGAGATATTTGGGCGCAGCCCAATCATCTGTAACATCCATGATAAAAACATAGCAAGGTAGAACCGTTCTCTCAATTTGTCGGCCATGATTTTTTTTTGAAGTTTGCCAACATTTTAAAATCATATAAAAGTGAAAATAAAAAATTGAAATTGTTCGAAATTGTTGTTGCTTGAGATTGAAAATGAAAATGTGTGTGTGAGTTTGTGAGTAAAGTTAAAAATTAAATTGTTTGGAAACGTCAAGAATTTTAAAAGTGACTCAGCGGTTCTACCTTACTATATTTTTATCATGGTAACATCCACACCATCCATTTGGGGAAAGGTCCTGTGGAAATGTTGGACGATGATTCGTCGACGTCACCTCTCCCATCGCCTTCAACTCCATCCACCCCAGCCCCGTCTCCAACCACATCAGCAGCAACGCCAACCACATCAGGATCAACTGCGCCTACATCAGCATCAACTGCATCCACATCAGACCTAACAACGTCTAGATTAGGCGTGGCCAGAAAGCGTTCGGCTCGTGAACTATACTATGAAAAGAAGTTAGAGCTGAAAAAAAAGGTATATGAAGAAAAAAAGATGGTAAGAGAAGAAAAGTTTGCGACTATGAAAAAAATGCTAATACAGAAGTGGGAAAAAGACCGCGAAATAGCAAAGAAATTGTTGCTACTAGAAAACCTTGTTAATAAAAAATGAAATTTTTGTAAATTTATTAAATAAGGACACTTCATAAAATATTTTGAATACACGTTATGGTGAAGTCGATCCAAGTATAAATTGGGACGCGACATTTTAGAAAGTTTTGGTTACTTTCCTTTTCTTTACATAATGTTTATTATTTTTTTATGAAAGGCTAACTAATTGCCTTACAAAAACCATATAAATCGAAATTTCAGACTCTGTGCAAAAATTATGAAAATTCCGCAATATTTCGCCAAAATTTCCAATTTTTTAATCACATTTTTTTATAATTTTGTGAGTAAGCAAATTTTTAAATTATTTAAATTTTAGTACGTTTACGAGTAAGTGCAAC